TGCAACGTGTTAACGCTCGACCATTCGTTGCTACATAACTCAAAACTACGCAAGTCTCATGCTTGCAAGACTTATTTCTATATATTCATTTATTCATTCATTCATTCATTCATCAATGGCTCTACAACCCTTTGTTGGGCCCTAGCCTCTTCTTCAGTTTCGTAATCTTTTTTACACAGACGGTAGGACTTCTTGGATGAGTGATCAGCCCGTCATAAGGCCACTACCTAAACATAGGACAATACAAACTCGGAATAAATGCACACAGACATCCATGGCTTGAGTGGGATTCGAACCCAAGATCGCAGCGTTCGAGCGAGTGAAGACAGCTCATGTCTTAGACCGCGCGGCCACTGTGATCGGTTATTTCTATATACACCACGTATAGTTCCAAGAACAGAATGAGAATAAGAAAAAAAGGACGCCAATAATGACAATAACGCCATTAAATAACAGTTCAACATACTGAAAGGATTCAATGTAACGTTACGTCATGTCTCAGCTCATGAAATCTGAGTATTTCATATCGACACACGGTATTTAATAATAGCAAAAATTACGAACACTGTTACTGAGCGATGATGAAACTAATGGAATATGTAGTGCTAGAACATAAGTGCTTCGAAAGTCTTCCTAAGGGGGCAATCCAAGACGCACTATCAAGACTTTCGAGACAGAGTCATGGGAAATATGCGAATCTGTCACAGTATTATACATGTACGGAATAAAACTGAGAACATATGCTCAAAACAGAGTCAGTTTTTTGTAGTAATATTCTTACAAGGCTGTATTTGAGGTTCTTACAGCAGTTTCTATAGAGTTCAATCTTTTGGCATGTAACGACATGAAGTCCGCTGAAAGTCGATCGACGTTTCGAAGTATCATAACGCCTCAATCCCCAGAGTCGAACAATAAGCTAATCAAGAAACCAGCATGAACCAGGCAGAATCATTCAATTCTGACATTTAGAAAAAGAGGAAACCCGAGTTTAACAATTACGTCACGCCCTGTGTTTGTTAGGATTCGGTCAAAGCCCCACAGTCCTCACTGCACTGTTCAGGCAGTGTGTAATGAAGTTCTCTCACTAGCTAAAGACATTTTATAACGTCATACAGGCAGGGGACAAACAACTGCCAACCGTCTGTGCGCGGCAACAAATTCTCACCGACAGTGTTTCTCGATTTGAGTTTGTTCAGGGGGAACGGAACCTGCAAGCCGTGCCTGTATATGCAGCAGGAGAAGGCTGAAGCCCTTCGGTCTAGTCCGGGCGAACAGTCTACTGAAAGGAGTGAATGAAATGAATTGCTGAGTAACGTAGAGTGAGACTGAGTTAGTAAGGGAATGAATGGGTGAGGGAGCCCTGTTTGCCAACAAGTTCCATTCCTATTTTCATTTAACTTGGTTTGTTTAACGCTGTTTTCAATTACTAAGACCATACAGCGTCAAATAATACGATAATTACTGAATAAATAATTCGAACGGACGTGGAAAGAAACGGCCATGGCCTAATTTAAGATAGGCCCACTATCTTACTTGTCTGTTGTAACTGAGAAAGACAGACTTAGAAACAAAAAGATTAGTCAGATTTCGTGATCGAGATTTGAACCCAGAATTCCATGGGTACAAAACAGAAATACTAGCAACTCGGCTACGACTTCCCATTCACGTAAGATGACCATTTTTATCACAGTGGCCAGGGTTTGAATCCGAATCTGGGATATTTCGTGGATACCTATATTTTCTCTAGCGGTCCTATGATCTCTTGCACGATACGTGTATAGACAGCACGAATCGCCTTACAAAGTTGTCTTCCTTTCACAAGTCAATGCCTTACATGCACTAATATTTTTTTAATGCTAGTGGGGTGGGACTAAGTCCCTTGTACTGCGGCCACTTCTGGCCTATTGTACCAGCCCCAGATGATAGGTGAGGGTGATTGTGGAGCAACTGGTGGAATGAAGATTGGCAGGGGAAACCGAAGTACTCGGAGAAAACCTGCACCAGCGCCACTTTGTCCACCACAAATCCCACTTGACCAGACCCGGGATCGAACCCGGGCCGCCGCGGTGGGAAGCCAGCGATTAACCGCTTGAGCTATGGAGCGGCCTACATGGTCTACATGCACTACTAAATCTGTATTTCTCTCTGGCAGACGGTCATAGGGATTCACTGGTATGGTAGCTTTCTTCTGTCCGGTCAAACAGGGCGATGGCATGAGAGCTATCCGAAAATCGTCTAGCCGCTCACGAGGGAGAGGCAGACAACCCTCACGTTAGTGTCACACAGATTCGAACTCGTAGCGAATTCGAATAAGCCAGAGCCTGCACACATACAATTTCTCTTCACTACAGCCCCAGTACACCGCTGAACAGCGCCCGTGAAACGAGATTATGCGTTACGTGCCGACTGACTACCGTTGTCTTATACATGGTTTCGATTTGAATCTTTGAGGAAGTTCGCGCTGCCGTTTCTTGAAACCCTGGTCGACTGTGGAATACGTTCGGAGATTTTCGAGGAGACTGTTCACGCCTAGCAGTGATCTCATTATTTTCTCTTCACTGAGAAAAACACGTTAATGAGCGCCACTTTGTAACTGCACTCTCACCTACCTTTTGTTAAACTCAATTATTATCTTCTCTCTTGCACTAAATTTTATCTCAGGGTTATTTGATTTATAAAGAGGAGAGGTTTCTTGGTTCGGTAGAGCTGAGGTTCTCTTATCTCAGAGCCTTGAACGGGCCACAACTCGAAGAAGCAAGAAATGAACACAAACTACAAAAGCACATATCAAGTTTGGATGTATTATTATTATTATGATTCACTTGTTAAGTCACTTCTTAATACTGTACAACTGACTAACACCAGTACACTTTTACTTCTTGTTTCCACAAGATCCGGTGTATGACTTTAACGTCTGATTTCTACGAGGGCCGGTGTGTGACTGACTTCGACAACTGAATTCCCTTCGAACCATCAAGTCCTTGAAGAAAGCAGTCTTCTGGGATTTGGCACCGTGTATATGTGGTGTTAACCGACGTTTCGGAGGAACGTATCGCCTCCATCTTCANTCCTTGTTTCATCAGCGTCTAGGCTCTGTCACACCCTTAAATTTTAGTGATTGGTCACATTTAAATAATAGGAGTCTCTTAATTAGCTCTTCCTCCACTCCGTTTAAAGATTACAAGGAGTTTAGGTTTCTGAGCTCCAACGTACTTCTTGTCAGAATCTTGACAAATGTGAAGCTTGGCTTGGGTCATTAAAACTTCACTATTTTAAGTTATGGCATGCACAAGCTGTCCAAGTATTGAATTCACAAAATATTTCGTAGTTACACTTTCATGTAAAATTTCTAAGAACCCCGCGACGGGGTGTCTTCCTGTTTCTGCTGCACGCGTGTGAAGACGCTAACTCTTACATGCAGGAATAGACCTATGTCTCACTACACTTGTTCATTGCATCTCATTGTGAACAATTACAATTTCTAATTAATAAAATTAATTTCATTTAAATAGGCTGCATAGCAGTGGTACGGTTACAACCCCCAATCCTAATAACGACCCTCTCTGTATGAATATATTGTGGAATATTTGCGCAAAGCAGGAAGTGTGGGCCAAGACAAACAGCCATTGCTAGGCAACCGCTGTGTAAACATGCAACAATACCAGAGCCATCGCTAAGCAACGTAAGCACTCAACAATGAATTAACTGTTGAACACGGTGTTCTCTATTCGGTCCGCTCAAATAGTGATATACTTCAACGATAGAACTTATTGAATTAAAAAAAAACTGCCAAATGCATGATAGGAATGCATGCAGCAGGCACAGAGTTAGCCAAATGTTAGGATTATGTGCATGCTACAAACACCGCACTGTACTCAGAAACTATTTTCCCTCGTGTTTCGTTAAATATTTTAAAATACAAGATGTAGATCTTCACAACATGCAAAATTGCTTATGATGTGTCATTCTTTGGAGCATCTTATCAAGTTTAATTCCACCTTCACGTAAAACAGGAACTATAATTGATATGTACATACCAAAGTTTAATGCATACCTCCACCATGACCCTGCTAGTCGTAGGAGGCGACGAAAAGGGAAGTCTCGAATCTGAGACAGTAAAATACGGTCGCGAGTCAGGAGGGACTCGGACCCGAGGAAAACTGCGCTGGCAAGGGCCAGTAGCATGTAAAAAAGACAGACCCGTCCTCTTGTCAGAGAGGACGCCCCACAAAAAACAAAACCGTAACGTTCAACAGTAGTAAATATCTGGTCATGAGCCCCAGACGGGGCTCGACACCAAGACTTACTGACTGACTGAACGTCAGTCGCAATGTGACCTGGACTTGGACTTGCTGGAAACTGTGCTTTCTATGAGGTTCGTGCCGAGACTACATAAGGAGAATAAGCTTCCGATGTAGCATCCCGTGTGGAGGCGGGGTTCGAATACCTGCACCGTAGCCCTGAGAGTCGCAGAGGCGACGAAAAGGGAACCCAGTGCCTGGGGGTATAACTGGGCCACCTTATTTCTAGGGCATATAAATACAGGAACCTGGCCTTCCAGGTTTCAGGTCTAGAATCTGAGACAGTAAAATGCAATGAGCCCTGCGGGACTCGGACCCGAGAATGGCTGCGATGGCGAGGGCCAACAGCAATTGTAAACAATAGATCTATCCTCCCATCAGAGAGGATGTCACATAGAGATTATGGCCGCAAGTGTTCAGTTGGGAAAAAACACGTTGTGAGTCTCAAGGGGCTTGTCGCCAAGACGAACTGATTGGCTGTAAACCGCCAGCTGTAAAGTAACTCTGACTATCTGCTTTACTGGAGAAATCTTGAAAGGAAATTGTGATTGTCAAGAACACTAATAATCCCAATCAGTGTGACTCTGGTTGACGCGAGGACCCTGTGTCTCTCCCACCTCAATGACTGAAAGATCTGCGGACAGCTCTCAGCCGCTCGCAGTGACACCTGTACATAAGCTTATGAGCTGATTGTTCCAGCGGAGCGCGCAGACGAGAAGACGCATCGCCGTAGTACAGTACGGATGGGGATCCGTGTGGTCCAACGGTGCTTACCCAGTGCGTCAGTTACCCCTGGTTCGCCCGCACCTTCCATCGAGCAGCTCGCAGGCCCACCACCCCATGCAGCCGTGGAAAAACCTTTCTTACTAAGTGATGGACGAGTGGAACTAGAAGCTTCCTTAGACAAGGCTGTATACAGCCATGGGGAACCGATCTTGGTGAACACGGCCGTGCATAACAACAGTGGTAAGACCGTCCGCAGGATAAAGGTGAGCTCTCAGCTTACTGAATTTAAAAAAAACTGCCAAATGCATGATAGGAATGCATGCAGCGGGCACAGAGTTAGCCAAATGTTAGGATTATGTGCATGCTACAAACACCGCACTGTACTCAGAAACTATTTTCCCTCGTGTTTCATTAAATATTTTAAAATACAAGATGTAGATCTTCACAACATGCAAAATTGCTTATGATCTGACATTCTTTGGAGCATGTTATCAAGTTTAATTCCATCTTCACGTAAAGCAGGAATTATAATTAATATGTACATACCAAAATTTAATGCATGTGGACGGACATATGTGACCTCCTTTTTATGAAATCATTCTATATTTTAGAATGCATTAACATGATATATATTACTTAATGTCTTTACTGTAGGTATTCGTGGTGCAACATGTGGATGTCTGCATGTTTTCCAATGGCAAGTTCAAGAATGTGGTGGCACTAGTGACAAGTCGGGAAGAGTGTCCCTTGGGGCCGGGATCATCCCTAAGTCGCACATACACTCTGTACCCAGCAAAGGGGGCCACCAAGAATTGGATAGCACTTGAAGACTCATTCAGCAGGGCAGGTGCAACTCTAGCATCCACTGTTACGTGTGCATCCAATTCACCTGAAGACCGAAACGTGTTTGCCATCTATGTCTCTTATTATGTTAAAGTGAAACTTCTAGTTGGTGCCATGGGTGGAGAGCTGGCACTGAAATTACCATTTACTCTTATGCACTCCACTTCAACGGCAGAACTTACTGAATCTTTGTCCCTATCCCCACCACCAACACATCCTCTAAAAGAAGCAAGCCCATTAACAGAGAGGAAAAAGAAGACCAACACAAGACAGGATGAGGATGTGATTTTAAAATGTGACGAGGAGCCCACCTGAGAGTCAGAGAGCAGTCCAAGGAAGTCAAGTGGTGATGCTCAAAACTGTGATTTAATGAGTGTCACCAGTAAAAAGGAAAAGTGCAATGATACTGCTGAAAACCAACTTACTAACAACAACAGACTTATGGTTCAAAGAGTATTTTGTTGTTTCGCAACTAAACGGAACAAATGAAAATAAAGCATCAGAAGACATGTCCTGTAACTTAATTTGAAAAATGTAATTTTGCAGATTAATGGTAAGCTTTCTTCTCATTTAACTTTTAAGGGGTCAGTCTTTGCTTTTTTTTTTTTTTTNAGACTGCTTTCTTCATAGTCACCGCCATGTAAGACTCAAATCTTACAAATTATTTTGTGGTTAGTAACTGGAAGTTAGCATTACATAACAGATATTACAATTCCCATTTATCTCACTCAATACAAGTGAGTAGCTATGGGATGTATCTGAGTTGAATTTGTAGCAGGGCTACACATTTTATATGCTTCCCACCACGTCCAGACCACCTCCCATCTAAAGCATAATGGGGGGTTTTCAAGAGCCTTGGGGAATTAAAGGCTGGAGGTTCCCTTTCAGTGATAATAACTTGAGCCTTTTAAATGCACTAACATTCAATGATATTCTCTGTATACCCTTATCAGGTACCATAGGTAAAAATTAATAAATCTATTCAATTATGCTATACTCCACTCATGACAGACAAAAGAGGGCTGAACATGATGCATATCAATTCAACTAGTTTGCTAGCTGCTACGTCTGTTTTCAATCTGCTGTATGCCTTACGGTAAGTAATATTACCAGCATCTAGTGTGGACTTTCAGAAGTATATCATTTTATGGAGTTTGTTTGACAGTGCAAGAATCTCTGCTGACTGTGCAAGCAAATAATAAAATTATACAAAAACTTCTATCTTGGATTGCAGGACTCAGTAACAGAACTTACTTAAGTTAAATAGCATTAAAAACAAAAACATATTGATGATGAAATCAAATGCACATTTCCAGAAAGTTGAAGCACTACAATTTAGCGGCGAAAAAGAAGCATATTTAAAGCTGGGACGAATTATCACTCACTTCTGTGGCAGTCAAGTGTTACTTACAGCAAAAATGAATTTAAATACTAATATAAGGCACACTTAAGTAACACAGAATTATTTCAAAATGGATGAAAAAATTCGGATAATATCCTGTTTCACACTAAACATTTTTAAATTATTGTTTGTATGTCCTCATTTTGGAGAAATCTTTTCTATTGAACATTCATGTATATGGAAGTTGTTGAACTTCTTATATAAGAGATCAATGAAATCAAATATACATAAAAAGGAGGAACAAAAAGCAAAATAAATTCTAAACAGTGGACAGATTGCAACCATTGTGGAGCTAAGTGCAGATGATACTGTCATGTTATCAAAGGCTGAAGTGTCCAACTTTTAAACTGAGGTAAGCTGCAGAAACTAAAAATACAGTTTACAAGCAAGACTGGAAGAAAATGTCTTCTCTCACTTCTTTCTACAGTTAAGGCCTGTAAAATGAACTTCAAGCCTCATAAGTTATTCAACGAATGCTCTGTCTTCAACACAAGCAATCACACATATCTCACAAACAATACACAGAACAGTCAGTTGAACTATTTGGCAATGGTTCAGAGAGCTAACATTCCAAAAGAACAACGTAACTTGTATATGTATTACATGTATAGAAAAAATATCATTATAAATACATAACTGTAACCTCCATTCATGGATTTTTTCCTTGTGTGTTGTAATTTGTTACATTTTGACTATTATAGGTAAAATTTGTGCATATCCTGTTGGTAAACCTGTCAATTAAGCATGCAATGTACTTTTGCACATAATGAACTGAAACTGTGGTGGATGTTTTTGTCTTCATTTGTACAAATTTGTAATTTTTAATACAGTGGCATTAAACACTGATTTCAAAGTTAAAGAAACAGAATCACTGCAAGCAGCCTGAAAAAGTCACAAAAACATTTTGCAGTATATAAAATAAATTAATGTACTGATCTAACAACAAATGGATGTCTGGATAGTTTTTTTGTCTTAAGACAAAAAAACTATCCAGACACATCTGCTGTTAGCAGAACGTTCAGTCTGTAATTACTAACTTAGCAGTCAATGAAATCAACCGTTGGAATAAATTATCATGAGATAACGTGCCTCACCTTCTGTAGCTTAAAAGTAAGTTAACATCAAAGATGATTTTCTTTTTGCAATATGACTTTTACTGTCCATGAAGCAATTTCTGGGCATTAGAAAGAATTTGCCCTAATATATTTTCAATAAAGCATGACAGGTTAAGCCCACAACTGTTTAAGGTTGATAAGTCAATGAGAGGGACAAGTAAAAGAAACACAGAGGGTGCAAAATGCCTCTTCTCAATTTATATAATAAGATGTGACACGTTCATCACTGGCTTTGGGCTAGATGACAAGGGTTCAATTCCCAGCAGAAGTAAGGACTTCTTCTCCACTACCACCATGTACAGACCAGCCATGACACCCACACAGCTTCACATCCAAAGAGTGTGACTTTCAGGAGTAAAGCCTGAAGCAGATCACTCACATCACATCTTGTGTTAAGATGAAGAAAGTATGGAACTTTATCTCAACATCCCTTTTACGCCTTCATGGCAATGTGCTTAGATCAGGACTCAAAGAACAATTTATATATGGTGCATGACGTTTAGAACACTGGTATTGTGAAGCACAAACTGTTTCCGGCCTGCTGTCTCACTAGGGACTATAGTCTATCTAATCCATACGTTTAAATTGTCAAGACATCACTGTACCCTTCGTTCTTAAGTCAAATTAATAAGATCATCTGATGCAACTATAACTTATACTTTAATCTATATAATGAAATTTTCAGTCCACTTTAGATGTTCTGGAAGAATTTTGTCTATTAAATATCATTCTGATTATTACAAATATTTAATATAGCTGTATCAGACAGTTTTATTAACTTGACCAATGAATTACTGTTACATTTAAGTTATCATAATATAAAAAATCATATGGTTCAAATAATAAAATCATGAAATGGATGCTATTTATCAATAACATTACTATCTTCACCTCTGATCTTATGTAATTGTTTGGGCAGTTATTTCTATTGGGTCTTGTACTATGATATACATTAAAATAAGTATTAAATCCTAGAATGGTGATTCTTGCATTAATCATTTTAATAGTTTATATAGATATTTCATTCATTTGAGACTTCTAAGAAAGTATATATTCAAGCAAAAACAGGATTTTTGTCCATATAAACTGCACAAAGAGTTTCAGGTATTATATGCATTATCGCCAAAAATTAAAAATTTGGGAGGGATACAGTCAAGGTATGTGTAAGGGGTTTGAAGCAGTCCTGAGAAAGATTAAAACTTTAAAGTGAACTATTTCTTTCAAATTGAACACCAATCAAAAAATTCAGTTTGTTTTATTCCTTACCACTTTCAGTCAAATTATTCTGTTTGCTCATTTTGACATTTATAATAGTTTAAAATGCAAATGACATATAAGACCAAGATTAAAATATAATAATAAGAAAGAGAAGAAAAAACTGCTATGGTAATGTAATGAAAATGTTTGTTAATTGCTAGATAGTAAACAATAAGTGCACTGTAATGTTTTGTCATGTAAAATGGACTGTAGATACTTTACAGTAACATACAATGCACCAAATTAATAAACTTTTCAATATTTGTATGTGTATTGATCTATGTAAGGATGTAAATATATATATAATTGTATTTTAATAAAATGTTTCAGCAATGCACTAACAGCATGTATAAAGCTACTGTAAATTCCATATAATCCTGTTAAATCTCTCACTTATAATCCATACGAAATGTACAGTTGGCCGATACACTTTACATATTGAGTTACATCCTGCAGGAATTATCAGTCAGAGTGCATAGCAATGCCTTACCTAAGTGCTCCTGACACAATACCTTAGAAAAGCAATTAATCATCAACACTTACCACATTAGCCATAAATTTTATAACGTATTTTAGCGTCCTGTTGCACTGATTTTCGTCCATGATGTATATGCAGTGTCCATCTTTTAGTGCACTCAATTTCACTTGTTATTTCACAACATGTTTCGGCACTATAGTGCCATCATCAGGTGCTCCATTTACGTTAATCTATTTCATTGCTTGCCATTATGTAATTGTAAAATTTAAAAAGTATTTAAAAATGTTCATCAATTCATAAATAATTATATACTAAAAACTTGTTAAGATAATTTATCTTATCTGTCCCAATTCTAGCACTGCGCATGGTTCCACTACTGTGGGAGTCGTTCCTCTTACTCTCAGTGTATATCGTTTCTCGTGTTGTGTGTTTCCTGTTTGGTTGTGGGTGTTGTGCGGGTCAAATTGAGTGCACTAAAAGACAGACACTGTATACATATCATGAACTTTTATAACACCTGTTCCAATCTCCTCAAGTGAAGGATATAGGAAATGCACATAGAATATAGATGGGGACTATTGTTGAAAACAGACACTTAGTACAGCAAAAAGTATATGGTTAGATAATATCAAACTTCATCATAGGAAAATATTATGTTAACAGGTTCTGGGTGATTCAGGATAAATAATCCTATATTATGCATATCCCTCATCACAATAACATGGCACATCTTTGGGCTGTGAATGAAAGAGATGGTCTTAGGATATGGGGGATAGTTATGAAATTAATGAATAAACATGAATGAATAGCAAATGAATAAAATAAAGTGGTTTTCCATCATGGGGACTGGGTGAAGGCCTAATAACTACTCAACCTACAAGACACAATGTTACAAAATGTAATGCAGAACATCAGACATGGGCAGATTCTTGGTTTTCCACATATGTAAGATAAATATACCTTAAATTTTGATGACACTCTTAAGCAGCCTAAAAATCAATTAATCTCCTCAGTGGCAAAATCATGAGATAAGAATCGTCGAAAGATATCACATCTCATATATCAGAGTAAAATTCTAGTGACTAATAATAAAGCAGACAAGAAATAAAAATATGAATAGTGTTTACTTTCTTACCGTGATATTCACCCCATTTGAAGCCACGCACAATGGTCTTGACCTCTTCTGGGGAACTTGGTTTCTTAGCACCATACACTTTGATCAAAACATACTTGAATGTGCCATCAGAATCAATGTCAACTTCAGGAATGCTTGCCAACTTATCTGATGCCATTGAGAACACTCGTGCACAAACTACACTAATACCTGAAACAATGACATTCAGTAATGTAATTTACATACTTGTTCATTCATTTCCAAACTGAAAAGTAGCACATAATTCTGCCCCAACCTGTAAAGAAAAACTGAACAAAACTGTTCATATTATATTATATCAGAAAGGTTTTCTTTCGTAGCTCTATGCAGAAATTTGTCCTGAAGTCACAGCGATTATGTTTATGTTAGGAAGATAATCAATGGAAAATTGACCAGGTGTACAAATGTTGTGATCTATTATTTTCTCCCTGAAAAAAATAAATGATCTTAAATTTAATCATAAGTTTGTATTACTAGTAATAGCTCTAGTGAAAGAAAATGTAATGCCTGTCACTTTTCAGCCTTGAATTCTTTGTTGTATTTTGGTTAAATTCATTCATTCATTTATTTATAGTTCCAAAAAATCCATAGAGGCATCTGCCTCAGATATAGAACAAATATGATATATAACACCCTTACTGAAACATATAAGAAAATCCTGTTTGAAAACAACAAACCAGTATCACTTTAGTTCCATGTAAAATGTTGCATGCATTACTTGTTTCATCCATACATGGTCCTTCTAGATTTATCAACCCAAATGATATTTGATGAACAGTTATTAATCTGAAATGTTTCGATAGCTACCCATATTCACTACGACATGCAGACATGTGCGGTAAGTTATAAGAACTGTTCATGTGCTTAAGAAGCAGACCATTATGACATATGGGAAAGTGGGGCCAGGAATTCTTAACCTCCACTTTAGTATGAGGTAAGTGGTTAGCTTTACATGCCATCTACTTTTCTTCAGCAACCTTGGGATAAGAAGCGGTGTGGAATCCAGAGCATGTCTATACACAGTGACAAAGAGAGAAATTCCTGCACATCCTGGGAATCGAACCCCAGTCATCAGGCCCATAGCCAGTCACTATATTGAGCTATTCCAGTTTCCAAGCAAATGTTATTCACATTGTAAGACATGTCTTAATTTCCACATTTCAATGTTAGCACATTAAAGGTAATTACATAAATAGTTAACAAATTTCAAAATGACATTTGACGTGAAAATTATGTAATTCATAATGTCCCATGTAGAATATTATTTCAACTTACGATAAAATATTATTGATGTTCTTTTTTTTTATTTAATTCCAATAATTATACAATCTATCCATTAAGTGTGGATAATAAGTACATTTTGTGGTTAATTTACATATAGCAAAAGGAAAGAGGGTACTTGACGTGGTGAGCATATTCCAATGAACATGCTCAATACTTATTTTAACTGCTTAGTAATATGCAGTTAAGTGTTGTATTATCCGAATCTGGTGGGCAAATCTGATGGTTTAAATCTGTTTAGCCTCCTGATTTCCCCTACATCATCGAGTAATTTTTGTGCCAAGTCGTTCGGATGGGCCTGGAGTCTGATTTTATACTTTTTGCTGTTTTTTTTTATTTCCTCTCATACTGTTGGTACATCTAGGTCCTTGTGTAGTACCGTGTTCGGCACAGACCACGGTGTATTCACTATTNNNNTTAACTATTATTCGTAATACTTTGCTTTGAAATCGTTGGAGAATTTCTATGTTTGAGTTACTGGCTGATCCCCGCAATGGTATCCCATACGTCCATATCGGTTTGAGCATGGTTTTATACAGTAAGATCTTATTTTCTGTCGATAACTCCGACTGTCTTCCCAGCATCCAATACATCTGTCGGAATTTTATTCCGAGTTGTTTTCTTTTGGTGTGAATGTGTTTTTGCCATGTCAATCGTTTATCCAGGTGTATACCAAGGTATTTGGCGTCTTCTGCTGGTGGCATCTGAGAGTGATTTAACGTTACTGGAGGACAGGTAGCGCGTTTCATAGTAAACGTTACATTTGTAGACTTATTTTCATTTGCCTTCATACGCCACTTTTTCAGCCAGTGTTGAATTTTATGCGTTTCATGGTAAACGTTACATTTGTAGACTTATTTTCAATTGATGTTCTGATGGTACAATTTCTTACTTAATTTAACTGAAATGCTTTCCAATTCAGTCCTCAAGACAGTACAACAAAAGATGTTTCTTGCTACCACATAATTTCAAACTGAAGCATGGGAACGGCACATCATTATAAGGGCAGCAGACATTCACTCAAAGATAAGAGACCCAACACACAGTATCAGATTCAGGCAACATATATACAAAAATATATATTTATTTTTCACACCATCTTTCAATTGTTACTGCAGCCACAGGCTGAACATGAATATGAATGAGTTATGAGTTATAATAGTTGCCTTTACACCTTTTACAGTAACTGTGTTCAGACAGGGTCCCCCTAAATCCTGAGGTCTGGGGCAACTGCATCACTGCACCCTCCTCAATCTGGCTTTGCATGAAACTAAATGTCTGACAAAAAAAAGTGAATTATTTATTGTGACTAAATACCCTCATTCTTCTCATGCATCAATTAAATGACTACATATAATACATGGATTCTGGTGGTAAAACTGCCAACAGAAGGTAGTGCAATGTAATTCATGAACACAATTCACAAAAGATATGTTGCATGTTCTATGTTCTCTTATGGAAACAAGTTCCCAAAAGAAAAAGAAAATTGTATGCACTATATACTACAACCATCTTTTAAAAGTAAATGTAAAGGCAAAGTTAAGGTTGTTCTTGTTCCTAACTACACACCACAATAGGAAGACTTATGGGGGTGTGGACAATCCTTCCAGCCACACTATGACCCTGGGGTCGACTCAGCCTCCAACAGAAATTAGTACCAGGAATATTCTTGAGGGTAAAAGGCGGCCAGTGCATAGGACTGACAACATTACCGCAATCTATCAGCCGATTGTCTAGAAAATGTGGGAACCTCAACATCTTACAACCCTATGGGCCTCCACGGCATGTTACAGGGGATAACTTTACTTTACTTTACTTATGGGGGTGTGGAGATATGCATTCTTAACCTCAGCAAAAAATGGTTTTTGCCCCACCTCTTCACCACCGGTACTCATTGGATAAGACGGTGAGTGGGCCCAAAGATCTGGTCTGGACATTGTGGGGAGCATAAAAACTCTTTCCACTGCTGATAATCGAACCCAGACTCCTTGGTTGTCCATCACCAAGGCCTAATCACTATACTAATTAACTACATATGACTGATCTATCTAAGGTCCTATGGGCTACTTTTATTTGAGATCTGGGGTTCGCATGGATATGACTATGAAGAACACTATCTTCTGGTATGTGACGCCACATAATCTCGTAAGTATTTACTGATGCTTCTCCTTGCCACTCTCATGTTCGCTTGTTCAGCTTACATTTCCACTCTGAAGACAGGGGCAGTACGTTCCTCCGAAACGTCGGCAAAATTCAAGAACACACGAAATCAAATTCCGCTCTTCTACTTTTCATTGTCGAGGAACATCAAAAGATGCCATCAGTGCCATCTACTCCACGTTTTTACAACTAAGAATCGGTCCAGAGTTCAGTACTGTAATCTGGTGGTGACACTGTCAACAAGCTCAACACAGCTAAGAGCGACTACGAGTGCCATGTGCGACGAGACCAACATTAACCGCATCAACAAATAGTACTGTCGTAACATATATAATGCTTCATATTCATATATGCAGAACACTACTAACTACTCATAAATCTAAATAATAAACATTACCTCCAAATACACGCCTTGCCTCCAAAGCAGTCCGCATTAAAAAGAATTGATTCTATCGACTCCTGTCACTGCCTTCGGTGATCTGTGCCACGGCCTGCAGGGCGTGCAGCACCTAAATATAATTTTTCACAATGTGACAAACCTCTTGCCTCCACTATAAAAATCAAACTTCTTCCGTTATAATCCTATAAACCTTTTGAGCCATTTGAATGAAAGTAACTTGTTGAAACCGATCAATATGTTAAACGTAATTTATATATGTAAACTGGTTGCAATTGAGTTTCCACTTTTTATTTCCCGAGTCTAAATCTGAGAATCACAAGTTGATGTTACTCAATCCAGAATGTGGCCACACTGAATAATTTGACCAGAGAACGTAGGTGTTATAGTCGCAGGTAACTGTAGACAAGTAGCGATCGTTGCGATGATGAAAATTTAATTGAATAGGGGTAATGGCGGAGATATTGAGAAATATTTAAAATGTTGTCTGTATCTGACGCACCTACAGTATGGAACCTATTAAAAGGTGTGATCTGCATCTATAAACCAGCTGGAATTACTGCTGCTAGCGTGCGGAGTATATTACTTGGCAATATTTGTAGAGGTGAGCTTAGTCTAACCTAATTGTTGCAGATTGTTCAGAGTCCTTCGAACCGGTATAGTCTTTCCCAATCCAGTAATCATTTTAAAACTTTCATTCACAGACCTTTGCGAATTAGAAAGTCGGCCGCCAACAAGGCATGTTTTTATTGAAGGTAATCCGTCAACATCATTAAGTGTACATGTTGCACCCAGTTTTGCGGATCATCCACTTGTTGTTGGTCCAAAATATCAACCAGAAGATCTCCGTTGTACGTGGGGTGCCCCCCTTGGCAGAAATATTTCTGGAGTGTTTGGTATGTTATCACTTTATGTTACATTGTTATACAGTTTTTGAAGCTCATGACAATACTTAAAGTATGTTCTGAATGCCCAGTTGCTTCATTGCATTAATAGCATATCAAATTTTCATTTCAGTCTTGGGTCTCAGTGATGGTAATAGAACTGTTAAGAAGTTACATATGCAACGTCCCACTCGAGTCTTTCGACTCAAGGGTTTGCTGGGACAGGCAACAGATACGTATTTCAGTGATGGCAAAGTAGTAGAGAAAGCAACATTCTGGCATGTGAATAGATCAAAATTAGATGCTGTACTTGCTTCCATACAAGCTGCACATCAAAAACAAATGTTTCAGTAAGTATAAGTCTTGATGATTACTGTCTCATAAGATATGATACTGGTATATCATTGCCAATACTTCAGAGGAAACTCATGGTTCATCTTCAGGGTAGAAGATGGTTGGAACACTACAAATCTTGATTTTGTTCATTAAAATAAAGTAAAAAAGTAGAAAGAAATGACTGGACTGCTCTCAAAATAGTTGCTAATTATAGTAATTTCTTTATACATATGAATTGTGTGCTGACCACTTAGTGTTTATTAAGTGGCCTCCGTAGTCTAGGGGTAACGTTCCCACCTCGTGACTCAAGGTACGCGGGTTCAAACCCGGCGGAGGTCGTGGAATTTTTAAGGGCGGAAAAATTCAGGGAACAAGTCCTCCAGGAGGGACTTTAAGCCGTGTGTCCCATGTTGTAGATTTACGGCACGTAAAAGAACCTCATGTCTCTAGGAGACCTGTGAGCTAAATTACAGGCCCTTTCCTGCCCAAGTAGTCTCCAATGCCTCTGGTGGATGGAGGAAGCATCAAGGTACTGGGGGCCGACCTTGTTGGCTCTATGGGGGCTGATGGCACGCACCGTTACCGGTAGGGTATGGCGACAGTAGAAATTAAAGGGGGACGCACAATGGACCAATAACTGGTCTAAGTGCATGGGAAACCCACCCGCTCTCATAATACATACATACATAGTGTTTATTATGAATCTTTAGTGCTGATTCATAGATCCTGAAAGATAATATTCCATCTAAGTCAATTATAAAGCTTGCAGACCATCAGAGTGTACTAATTTCATGTAAGGTTCACATATTATGAAACTTTTTTGAATAAATGTCACTATCAGCTACTGACCCAAGCAAGCTAGGAATTAAAAGTAACGAAATCAGCATATTATATGTGTTGGACACATTTGATGTTTTGTTAAGGTTGTGACCTGTGTAACGCTCAGTAGTCTTAGTGGACTGTGACATTTCAGTGAGAACATGTTGCCTTCATCATCAGGGCTATAGTCTGTAGGGAGAGGAATTGGCATAGTTGTGGTCATGCTGCAAGGAAGATGGGAGAGTGTTTGGAAATATAGTCCAATTCAGACCAATAGGAATGTTATGTAGAAAACCAACTCTCTTCAGGGACTGTACTCCATTTCTTCACTTCTTTCTGTGGCTCTTATTGACCACCTTCTTTGCAGTCCACCTATATAACTGAGCTGCTACCCTACAAATTTTGGTCCTGAAGACTGAAGCATGTTTCTCTGAAACACAGGAATCCACCCTCACATCGACATTGTGAACAATCACTACCATGAAAACCTCCTTGACCCAGGTAGTTCATCAAATATGAATCAGTTTCATGGATCATAGATAACATCTGTTCCATCAAATGAGAAGCCAGTTGAGTTTCTTATTATGTTATTCAGCCAGTGTGGTGTCGACATACAGAGCCAGGCTGCATACGAGTTAGCAGTGCAAGGTCTGATCAAACCAGAAAACAGTAAAATTCCTTTACTGTATGGTATAAAGTGTGTTCACTTTCAGCCACCGGATTTTACAATAGGTAAATATGTTTTCCACACTATTGTAAATATGGCATTTTTTAGGTACTATTAAATTCCGTGAATGTATATTGTCAAAATAACCTTATTTCTGATATACCTTTGTTGAGTATCTCCAGAAATTCCCAACATGCATAGTGGTTTCTTAATTCATGTTGAACATGAAATACAGTAGACCCTCGATTATTCATGTGCACATATAGTGTAACTGTTAGTATTTTTATTATTTGCATGTCCAGTAAAACAAAATGAATTACGTATATTATTATTATCCTCTGAAAACCTATACTATTCATTTCTTAATAAAATATTTATGTTTCATTCCTCAATTCGTAATAACACTTAGTTTAATGATAATGAAATTATTATTACTGTTATAATTATCAGTTATTTGTTTGTTTACTTTTACTTTTATTCATTATTATTTCTTCCAAGTACTTACCTGTAATTTGTATTTGACTTTTAATAAGTTTGTGTATAATGTAATTCATTCATCTGCACTGTGCTGTGTCTGTAATTGGCCTTGCGGCTGTTGACTCAGCACATTAATAATAAAGAATTTAATTGAATTATCCGTGGAATTTCTGGAACCCCTTAGTTATAGCTTAATGAGATAAAGGAATAATGGAAATTGCTGTAAGGCATCACCGAAACAGAAACAACGGGCATATTAACTTCTGTTTTAGTGATTTCCCACTGCAGCCTTCTTTTATTGCTCTTGTGCCAGTATAGTAGCATTCAGTTTTACTTACTTCCTTCTGCTGGAAAGATATAGCAGCAAATCAGTAATTAGGCAATTTTCAGGGTTGAATGCAGCATGGATAGTGGATGTTCCTAGATTTTTGGATTACCCATTTTGCTTGATTATCGCCACTCCTTCCCCCTATTACCACAAATTGACTGTATATCAGGTTTGTGTTACAAAGTGCAATTTCCCAACGTTGTTTTCAAATATTGCCTTCCCTAAAGTATCTTTTTACATTTCTTTCAGAGGTACAGTGTATCAATGAACATGAGATGTACCTGAGGACATTGATACATGATACAGGGATTCAGCTGCACAGTGTTGCCACCTGTACAGGCTTGCAGTGCATCCGCTATGACTGCTTTACACTGGAACATGCACTACTACGAAAACATTGGACACTTCAGTTTTTATTGGACAATATGGCTGAAAGTAATAGATTACTCAGAGAGTCAGAAGCAGACAAGAGACAGAAGTCAGCTACGCTACTTGAAAGTGACATAAGCAAGCTTAAAGCACCTGTTGTAAATAGTTAAGACTCTATGTACCAAAAATAAAAAATCTAAAGCACTTTTAACTTTTGTTGATCTTAGTTTTCCACAGATAATTCCTGCTGTATGGGGGGAAAAATGCAATTGTTCCATTCTTTGTATTCCTTGCTTTTAGAGAAGCTTAGTAGTAGGTTACTGGTTCTGTAGTGACATAATTAGTACATCCATGTTATATTAATTTTCTGGATTTCCTTTGATGCCCTTCAATGCATTATCTGGTGTGCCTCAATTTTCTGCTTTGGGACTTTTGTTGTATAATATACACTATGTATCACATTAATAATTTATGTAACAAGATCATACATTCCTGTATTCTTTTTAATGACACAATTTTCTTTTTGTTTTATTACCTGTACTAATGACTGCATTCTTTTGCAGTCAAGATATCACTAACCATATGAAGGTTAAGGCCCATAAAACAGATTTCTCTCTTCATCCAGAAAATCTAATGTGCTAACTTAAAATTATCCTTTATAACCTGGAATTCTGCATATATGAATATAACATATTTCTTCTCTCTCAGCTATACTTTCAGCAGCATGTTAATAGTTACTTTCTCATGCTATAAGGTTATTAGGCCTAATATGATTATGTTCTCCTTTCCTTCATTAGATTTTCTGTCGCTTTACACCAACAAAACTTTATATATGCTTCTGTTTAGAATTCTCTTACTAAAGCTGACTCCAAGACATTAGAATCTGTCCATAGAAAATTGTCTCGTGTTCAGACTTTAGAACTCATAATCTATAGTTATAATCAGATTTTGAATAACTTAAAACTGACACTATAAGGAATGTTTACAGTGGTTATGACACCCTCTATCTGCTAAAGTTGGCACTAACTTCACCAAGTGGCAGTCACTCGGTCAGTATAGCTCACTTAGGGACTACAGCCCACGGAGTTTACAGTGGTTGTATTACTTGAACTTCTTTTAGAAGCTGTTTCTGTCAGAGTTAGTTGGAAACATTTAGAGACCTTTTATACCTTTTCATATAACAGATGTCCTCTTGTTCATGGCACTCCAGCTGTATATGAAATATGTTTACCAGTTCCTTTGGCCTCAAGTCTCCTACTTAATGTGGTTAACAGGCAGTTACAGTATTCTGATACTTACAGCAGTCATTTCCCTAACAAAATTCAGTGCTTGGTCTTTCTGATGGAGATGCAATGCTTTTGCGAGGTAGGAACTGAATTTTTTAATAGTATTTAGATAAATTTCAAGCTTGAAAGGGTTAAACATATCCAAAGTAAAAACAGCAAGACAAGAAATATGAAGTTAAAAAATTTCTAGGGGAAATGTTCCCTCCACATTTTTTAAACTTCTCCAAGAAGACATCTTATGTTAGAATAGAAAACTTGGCCATGCCACAAAGTTCTGGCAGTTACACATCCACTTTTCAATGGAGCATCTGGTTCAATCCCAAGTGACTTCCTGAACTATGCAGTCTAACAAAGTGGTCATGACCAGGATCTCCAAGTTTCTTCAGTTTTCCCCTGCTATCATTTCAGCGTTGTTTCACTGCCCCCGACCAAGCAGCATATTATCCTTTGTTTTTAAACTTGAGGGGGGGGGTTAACTTTTAATAAGGAACATATTTAAACCAAAATATGTATGTGGTAAACAGCAATTCCAGTAAAATTTAGTGTGAAACATTATGTATGCTACCTGAAGTAGTCCTTTGCCCCTCTGTGCAAGTACTTTCACTCCTTAATTTTATATACATACATACATACATACCTTGCCACATTCTTGTTTGCACAAGAACTTGAGACTTAAGTATACATTATAATGAGGAAATTTCTATGAGGATGAAAACAGGTATATAGTAAAAGACTGTCTATTACATTATTTTCTTTATATTCTCAATTTCAGTAACTTCATCATTTATCAACCTTCAAAAAACCTTTATGCATCAACTTCTCCAGCTTCCAACTTCTTCTTCCAAGATGCCTTCTTCTGGGCAATTCTGTTCTTACGTTCAGACAAACTCATTTTGGCCCTGTTCCATCTCTTAACAACAGGTGGTGTTTCTTTCTGCTTCTTAATTCGAGCTGGGTCGGCCCGAATGGCTTCATGTGCTTTTTTATATATACCTTCAATCTGTAAAATACATGACATTATTCAGTCCCATAACATCCCTATCAAAAATGCCAAAACAGAAGTCTGTCAGAAAATGCTAACACAAAAATGTGGGGTCACACGGTGTTCATACCTTCATTTATAGCCTAAAACACTGGGCTAGATCATGACATAATGAAAGTGCACATTAACAAATTCTAAATTCCTTCTTCCTTGCAAGGTTTAGGCCCTTTAAATCCATTCTAAGGTTACACAAACTGTTCAGACTCCTAAAATTCTTTTTATTTGAAATTTTCAGTCAGCCTGAATAATCAGTTTTTCCTCCTTATATGGGCTTTATCTCTGGAATGCCAAGAAATGGCACTTCACTTTCATGATAATAATATCAATGTGAAAGGATGTCTTAAATTTCATACTCAAAAAACATTATGACCCATTCCTTTCTGAATTTCATACTGTAATATTTTTCAGTAATATTTCATGGGAATGCTTCTGAATTTTACACATTAAAAAAGAAAATAAAGCCTGGTTCAGTAAGATGGAAGTACTGCCCAAAATTATCACTGAATTCAGCATACCCATGAACTAGTTAGGTTAATTAGAATTCAGCATAAGTGAACATTTTTCCACATGTTCTATTCAGAATGACCTGAAATACAGATGCTTTATTCCTACTGCTTTCAACTTGCTTTAGAATATGCCATTAAACAGCCTGCAGAAACCCAGATGGAATAAAACCCAGTAGGACACAAGTTCTGGTTTATAATGATGCTAATTAACTGACTGAGAACACTACATGCCAAAAATAATAACATAGAAGCTCTATCAGTCGATAATAAGGGGGCTGGTCTGGAAGCAAGCAAACGCAAAATGAAGTACACGTCCACGTCTCATGATCAGAACAGTATCAAACAAATTAAAGGCCCCTTAAATTTTGGAATGCTTGCTACCACTCAGCTCAGAACCCAAAAACACAGATTAAAATATAACTGTAACTGTAATTTTACCTGTAGTCCACTTTGAAAGTGGAACTTGGTCTCTCTCAGTAAGGGAAGAAGATACTACTGCAGTGGAGGCCATGCCATAGCTCAGGCAGTTAGAAGCTTACTTCCCACCACGGCAGACCAGGTTAAAGCCCAGGTCAAGTCATGTGGGATTTGTGGTGGATGAAGTGGCACTGGAGCAGGTTTTCTCCAAGTACTTCGGTTTCCCCTGCCAATTCTCATTCCACTGACTGCTCCACAATCATCTTGGGCTAGTACAACAGGCCAAATAGTGGTCGAGGGATGAAGTGGACTCAATCTTACCCCACCCCAAGGAAAAAAAATCCCTTACTATTGTAGCCGTATTTGTACCCAAGGGGGAGTAAATAATAGGTTGGTAGAAACTGTGTACTGAGGGGCCTCACAATCTGTACTAGTCACCTAAATCAGGGAGGATAAGATTGATGGGGCACGCAGAACACATGGGAGATTTCAGAAATGTATAAAAAATGTCAGTCACAGAACCTGAAGGTAACAGATCTCCTGGAAGACCTAGGCATACACATATATAAGAAGATATTAAAATGGACCTCAAAAGAAATGCAGTGGGAGAGAGTCAACTGGATTTACGTGGCTAATGATAAAGTCCTGTGAACATGGTAAAGTATCTTTGTATTCTGCAAGAAGCAGGGAATTGGGTAGTTCAATGACTATTAGCTTCTCAAGGACTCTGTTTCATGGAGTCTCTTAGGTGGCTACCAACAAGATTATATAATAGCATAACCCAGAAGACCACAATTTAAGACTTTGTTTCACTATTAATTCTTAAATATATACATGCAGAAACACTAATTACATTAATAAATTTCAAGTACATTAATCATTTCTCTATGTTGACAAATCTAGCCTTGCAATGATGACTGAAACCTTTATGCTGCATTCAAACAGTTCCTAAACTTCCCCCCCCCCTCCTTTATCATGTAACACTCTCACTCCAGCTCAACAATCCCTACATTTAACAGATTCATCCCTAGTCTAGTCTTTCTTTCCATTCAAGCAACAAGGAAAACTTTACAAGAAGGGACATAATATTGTACATACATAGATGGAAACTTGGAAAAGCAAATTCTGAAGGGTACATAATATTCAGTACATCTTCCAAAAACACACAGGCCTTGCTAATAATAATATACATCAAGGTCTTATACTCACACTGTCTGCCTCTATGCCGAGTTTAATGTACTTAGAAAACTGCCGTTTGTAAGCTTCTTCATCATTTTCAGCTAGCTGACGCATGTACTCAGCAACATGTTGGCCAAATATGTGTTTTCTGTGCACTTCAGCATTAAATTCCTTACTTTCAGCATCATAACCAGGAAAGCGTTTTGTGCTGAAACATAAGACTGCATCTAAGTTTCTACAAAAACATATGAAAATATATACAGTTAAGGACACTGCTGCTTCATCCACCTATCATAATCTGCAAGTGAAAATTTTAGTAACCAGAATAATGAAATGAGCAATAATCACATAATTTATCACAATAATGTGTCCCAATTTAATTTACTTTATCGTTCTGTCACAGCAAAACATAGCTGAAAATGTTATGTATTAATATAAATGATATCTAAATCACAAGTAGAAAATGTTTACTGAAAATTAAACAGACAAAAAAGAAATAGCCAGAAAACTGGTCTTAAAATAAAGGAAGATTAAGTTACAGATTTCTGAGTAATAAAGTCTCAAATTTTTATATTTAAGTTGTACTTCACGGCCAGCATTGCACTTCAAATGGATGGAATCAACATTTCATGATGCAGTATCACAATTAATTTAGCTGGAATCAATTTAAAACAAACTGACACTCCTTTTTAAGACTTATCACAAATGTAATATATTCACTATATTCTTCAGCCTTTAAAATTAATTAGTTAACTATGATAATGAGATAGTTCTAACTATATAAATATATCCTCTTATGAATAGGTTTCATGTGTAAATCTGAATGAGCAGTTTAAAATTAGTTATTCACAAAATAATTAATTAATGTTAACTTTAAAAACGAATTCGCTACAAACCTGACACACAGACAATTTTAAACAAGATAAATGTATGAGTTTAATATAATAATTCACCAACATGATCTCTACAGGAGACAGAACCAATCAGTATGCCAAACATCAAAGACACCCTGCTACTTCAAAAGCAGACACCACAAAACAAAAAACTTGTTGAGTGGAACAGCTGATTTCATAACAGGGGCTCAGTCTCGTCATCAATTCATCATGATGGTTCCTATTACCACAATGACACAGGAAGACTTCAAGTGCCAATGATACCACATAAATTGAGAGAAGATGAATTGGGAGGTGTCTCGAAAGGAAAGGAAAAACCTACCAGCAAAGCCTAATCTGGACAGAACACGAAATAACATCTAATGGATTCAGTAGCATGGTATGAACTACACAACAATCTGTACAAAAATACATCGGATACTTTTGCACATATGTGGAAAAGAAAACAGGAGATAAGATGTAAGATTTGAGGCTTTCACGGCGGTGACTATGAAGAAAGCAGTCTTCTGGGATTTGGCACCGTGTATATGTGGTGTTAACCGACGTTTCGGAGGAACATATCGCCTCCATCTTCAGGGTAGAAGAAAAAATATAAGANAAGATCTTGCATCTTGGTCTCCACAATTTGGGAATTCCAACATTTATACAGACAGCAAGTTTTTTAAACAGTGCAGACATGTTACTGTTAAGGCTAATTTGGTAGGAGAAGTATCCAACTCTTCGACCTAAGTCCACACTGTAAGAAAACCTGCTCTATAGAACCAACTACAAAGAACCTAGGCCATACCATTCACGTAACAGAGTGCACTACTTGGGAGCACAGAAAACAAGTTCACTTAAAATTGCAAGATCAACTGTTTCATGATCCTGGTGCTTTCCACACACTGAAAAAAAAAAATTCCATGGCCTGCAGTCTGCAACCAAACTATACCCACTGAGCGACTGCCGCTTGTCAGTGAAGTTTTCCGTTCACTGTATGTATACAGATATCATTTAAAAAATGCTGAGATAAGAGGAATTGATAGGTCCATCAAGCCATGTTTTTCAGCTTTATATGCAATATATTTTAAGATGCCAGTTCTGATTTTGGTATATTGTATATAAAACTACTAATCAATCCAACTTTTAAACAGGTCTATATGTTTACTTCCCTAAATAATGTTTCAGTTTTGCAACAATGTATGTACCAGACAAAACTAGAAATCTGTGACCTGCAGAAATATAGTGAAAAAGCAGAAACAAAACGAAAGCACTCCCATTATTCTTACATAACTATAAAATGAAATAATTCCACTACAGTTTGAAGAAATCGTCAGTTAATGATTTTCCTTTTAACTTCCCTATATCCCAAGATTAGCAGGCCAATGCAATTAATTACATCAGATACAAGGGATTGATGTTTTGGGACACTGTATCTGAACTCAAAAAATTAAAATTCTGAAAACTGAATAACCAATATAAATAAAAATTAAATCATACAAAACAGAAACTTCTAAAATAGCATGACTACACATTGCAAATTTTATTTCTGTGGTTCAGACTGGGTCACAATTGACCAGTAAATATACTGTATTTTTTTTTCTCTTTGAATAATTAATGAATACCAAGTTCATGATCCTTCCTGAAAGTTGAGGGTTATGCCTGACCATGAAATTCCCCACTGGATCTGAGGGTCTCACAAAACTGAACGCTATTGTTACCCAGTCCTTCTCTCTTCCCTTGAGGTTCTGATTACAATTTTGTATGCATTTCTTGTATTTGCATCCACAGTAAATATCCTATTCCTTCTGAAACTCCATGATTTAATCAATAACATTACTTGAAGAGTATAAATCAATTATGAGGTTCCTCCTTTTATGCCACTGTAAAAAATGATCATAACACTTTTACCTGTGAGGTATATTCAGACCACCATCAACAGCTCCTTTCATAGCACCAAAAACACGTGCACCTGTAGTAGTGCGCATTAGACCAACATCAAGATAGCATCGGAATGCACCAGGACCATCTTCCACAGCTTCAACATTATACTCCTCTCCTGTTACTTCAGTGCAGCCTATATACAACTGGTCTAAGCCAAGCTTCTTTAACAGCTGCAGCAAAGAAACAACAACCTTAAGGAACTACCTGATTAATATTATGCAATACATTCATCATCCTCCACTGTCACAGGTTGTTCAGTATTAAAAAGCTCGTTTTAAAGTCAACAGTAATTCTCTTCTGTTATAAAAGAAAAGGATCATCATTTCAACCTGTAAAATAAATTTCATTGTGGATTTGACTGTAGGTCTTCTAACACATCTGTGGTGAAGAAACTACCGCAATCTTGTTCGTCTGTATGGCCAAACCACAACAGAGTAGTCCGCATATCTGAGCCATTTACTGGGTTTGTGGTCTGCAGTGTCCAATGCTGTTTCCTCAAAGTGTTCCATAACTATATTACTGACCACTGGGGAACGAGTGTGCCACTGCCATACTGTTTTTGCCGATAGAGTTCACTCTCAAACTGGAAGTACACAGTTGTTAAACAGATGTCCAGTAGTTCCCTTATGTCTTCAGCATGTAAAGAAGGGTCCACAGTGAGTATTTCTTATGAACTAAGGCTTCTTCCACTGGTGCAGTAGTGAACAGACTGACTTCAAAACTTACAAGGCAGTCTTAATTTTGAAGGCTGATCTCCTCTATTAATTTTATGAAGTGTTCATCACAAAAGAAGACAAAAGTATCTCTATTGCAATGGTATGAGTACTTTCACCACTGAATGCTGATAATCTGCTTCATTGATAAGAGTACTGGTTACATAAACTGAATTTCATTACAACTGAATTAAAGGTCTGTTGTGAAACTGAATATAACACATTTACTTCAAAGACACTACAGGAAAACCAGTGTGACTTAACAGCCTTCTGTACACCTCTCTTGTACTAAATTTTACCAAAATTTATCACGTTAGGAAGTAGATTCTTTTGAACATGAAGCATTCTAAATGCAACTGATACGTCAATGTTTTGCAAATGTACATGTCCCAATTAGAGAAAGCTCCGTTAAACTATCACAACTAATTCAAATACCATCACAGCACAGTAACAAACAAGAGTATTAACATAATGCTAGATGTTAATATAAAATCTTGTCACATGCTCAAACTACATTTCTCAACTATTCCTGAATGAGGACAGAAAATTTCACACACCCTTATCCCCCAAACAGCAGAATCAATTTCAAAACTAACTTACCCTTCGGGCCAATAAAAGACCCGTACAGTATGCTGCCGCATAGTTCGTAAGGCCAACTTTAATTCCGTAACGAGGCAATTCATGGCTATAAGCTGCACATAATATCATGTCACCCTCGATACGTGAATATGCGACCTGAAAAATTAACATTTCACTTACTCTTTGATTAAAAGTTATTTGAAACTAAACAAAAGACAATGTATGTTTCAGGTGTATTTCTACCCGGTGCCTCTACTAATAATTTGTAGGTGAAATGTTAATGAAATGGAAATAAGGTCACATGATGAGACACTGGGATATTCAAAATCCATTCATAAGATGGATTTGTGCAATCTTATTCAAGGGCAGAAAGACTTCCACATGGTAATGACTGTGTTGTAGTATTCACAACAGGGGACTCAGGCTTTATGGTGGATGGAATACTGAAGGTACAAATAAAACATAAGGTTTTCCTAAGCACAAGGTCATAATAAGGAAGAACAATCCACTTAATTACCTAATTTGGAGACTGGTGTTTCAAAGTTTAACTGCTGCATAATCATTCATCTGCATCATTCACCAGCACTACCAGCATGCTTTGTGAGGCCAACTGTGACTGGTGGTTGTACACTTTCATCACTATCCGGCAAATAATTTTGAGAGTGAAACTGCTATTGCAAAGTTGAAAAAGTATAAATTGTCAGGTTGTGATAAAATTCTGGCATAACTGATTCGAGAAGATGAAACATTACAGCATTAATTACTCATTAATTTCATTTTGAGTAAGGAAGAGTTCCTTGAACATTGAAGAGTCTATTATTGTTAACTTAAAAAAAAAGAGGGCGATAAAACTGACGGCAGTAATTACTGAGGAACATCAGTGTTATCAACTTCATATAAAATCTTATTCAGTATCCTCCTCTCAAGGTTAAGTCTGTATACAAAAGAAGTTGTTGGGGTGGGTTCCAACATGTCACATCACCTACTGCTTAGACTTTTTCTTTTGCCTTACCTGGCAAGTGATATCCTTGTTCGAAAATCGAACTATAAGTCGGTACTTGGGTGTGTTATACTTATTCTTGACTTGAATGGTGAGTCGAAGACGAGCATAGTAGTCAGTTTTACCCTCACGACGCCTTTTGAACTTAACTTGAAAGCGCTTGAAATATTGCTTATTCTTGACGACCTTTACGAATCCCTGTAATATATCAGAATTTAAATATTACAGCAAAAAAAAAACTTGAAAACATGGAAATGCGATGGAATCCACATCGAAAGAAAATTAAAGTCTAGATTTCAATTTACAAGTAATGACGTTTAATCTACCACCCTTCTCATTACAGAGTAACAGTACAAATCCTGTCAATTAATACAACATACGTATATTTACAAATGCTTCTATAATTTACAACAAAACAAGCCGCCATTTTTTCTCCACTACACGTTGGCGAAAAAAGCTGTATCGCCAAGTATCATCGAAATCCGACTTCAAATGTAACCAAAACTACTTTCATATGTACCCTACATGATCAGTAGTCCCAGTACTAAAACCTCATTTAAAATGAACTCACCATCTTGGGTCAAAACAGGATTTAAAAGAGGGCCCCCTCAACTCACATATGAATATAACTCCCGACATAGACAACGCAGCAACCCGAAAGACACTGTCTTCTCTGCCGTTCTCTGCGTTCTCTGCCACTGTTATTGGCGGGCAATGTGACCGCCGAGACGGCTCAAATACATTATGCTGCCATCTTATCCTCCTCGCTCAAAATATTACTGCAGCCACTGCCAAGAGTTCAGTCGATAAGAAGGTTAACTACTATCGAATTAGTCTTCGGTCAGTGTCTGGTACTAACTTATGTGTATTTGGACCCCCGAATACTGTCTTCGCAAAACAGCAAAGAATAATGTTGCCACCCTCATCTCATGTACCGTAGAGGTGCTTAATCAATTTTTTTAAAGTTCAGGTAATAGCACTTCATTCATAACTAACAGGAGAAAGTTCCACAGCAGTACCTATACAGTTTGAAAATTTCATTTACCTCAATCCACTCGCCTTCTTGGGCAGAATTTTTCATTCAACGACAAGAGAATTTTAAATAATTATACATTGGAATTTTAAATTTTGAAAATTCTTATAAGTAGAAAAATTCATGATGGTTGCATGTATATTATATGATTGTGATGAGTAGCACTAATATGGATCCATATTAAGACAGTTTAGTAACAAGAGATGTATTTGATAAGGCTGCCTGAAGATGGTTCCAAATGTGGACCGAAACATGTAGCAACTATGAAATAAAACGAATGTGAGCAGTTTGATTGGTTTATTTTTATTGTTGTGTTGATGGCCAAATACCACCAATCATGATAAACAACAGACTGCAAACACTGACGATGATACTTCTGCTTGTAAACAGTTCAATGTCAGGTCTGCTGGACCCACACATGCACCATTACAATAGTGGGAGTCAAGGGTAATAAAGGTTAAAAACTCCACACTGCCATGATGTGGCCAATATAACACAGGAAAACAGTAGGATTACTACTGAAGCCATTTGAGTGGAGTTTAAGCTTTAGAACTGGTTCTGTGCAGTCCCTAATCTCAAACAATCTGGAATTTTCTTTAGCTATGTGTCAGGTAGGTACTACAACAGATTACAGCTAAACATAAATGTTAATCGGGGCATACACAACTTTGGGAACAACAGTGCAATGAATGAGTTAAAGAGCATCATTGGGAACAAAACCTGGACTCATCATTATGAATCTGAAAGCAAAGCATGGAAGAAAAACACATTAAATCACCACCCCATAAGCATACATACATACATACATACATACATACATACATAGCTTCACAGATCCATTGCCCATATTGGGTCGAATATTGAGCTCGTCAGATTAATTAAAAGTAGTTGCGATATGCAACCAAGTCCAAATAGACACAACATATATATACAATAGAATATAATACAATTAGGTATTTGCCATATATTCATCAATAGAATAGAAAGCTTTCAAGATAAGAAAGTCTTTCAGTTTTTGTTTAAATAAATTAACATTATCCTTTAAAATATATAATTTATGTGGCAAATTATTAAAAATTGTTATAAATGTATAATACACTCCCTTTTGTATAACGGATACTCTAGCTGACGTGATGTGTAATCTATTTTGTACTCTAGTGTTAATTTTATGTACACTATTATTTGTAAGATAATTATTTTTGTTTTCGATTACAAACATGACCATGGCATATATAAACAAACAGGGAACTGTAAGTTCTCTGAAAGCCTCTCTACAAGGACTTCTAGGCTTCATCATTTACATTGCTCTAATTGCTCTTTTATGAGCCACAAAAACTCTTTTCATTGATGACGAAGAAGAGCCCCAGAAAATAACACCATATTTAAGTTGAGCTTGACAGTAAGCACAATAAGCCATTTTTAACACTTGCCTACTTACTATAGGCTGTAGTTTTCTAAGCACAAAGGTTGCAACACTCAACTTATTTGTCACTTCATCAGGGTATTTTTTCCCAGCCGAAATGATTGTCCAGGCACACACCTAAAAACTCAATATTTACAGAAAATTTAAGTGTTTGGTCATTATATTTTAATATGTAATGGATAGTCCGTGGCCTTAGGGGTCATAAATTTCATTACATGGGTTTTTTTTTAATTTAGTATTAATTGGTTAGCTTGGAACCATCTATATACATGTTTCATAACTAAATTTATTTTGTTATTAAGGCTACTTATATCCTGTGAAGAGACAATAAAAGTGGTGTCGTCAGCATATAGAACCATATGTGCCAACCCATTTAGAATTCTAGGTAGATCATTAACACCTTGCAGACCGGTGATTTAAATATTTAAATCACCCTGGGGACCGGCATTTTTATACCTACTATCCTAACTTGTGCACTGTTCACTTTAAAAATTAATATAAAATCTCCTAATTAATTTTATGAACTAAAATTTTTGGAGAACACTTACCAATGCTGCTAGAAGTGCTTAAGTGTGTGATATTTCTGGAAACACTCCCCTTTGTGAAGTGGCATTACACACGCAAATGTAGACAGTCATACTTGTAGTCCTCTTTTGTGAACTGCGCAAACATGGCATTGCCTAGAAGGATGCTTCCCCTTGGAATGTTCACTCTTCACAATTTTCACGAGGGTATGTTTCCACATATCACCCGAGAGTCGCCCAGGGGTGCCCACATGAAGCCTGTGTGGGTTGTGATTTGATGGGCTAGGCTGCACTAAGTCTGTCTGACTCTGGTTNTAGATCATTAACACCTTGCAGACCGGTGATTTAAATATTTAAATCACCCTGGGGACCGGCATTTTTATACCTACTATCCTAACTTGTGCACTGTTCACTTTAAAAATTAATATAAAATCTCCTAATTAATTTTATGAACTAAAATTTTTGGAGAACACTTACCAATGCTGCTAGAAGTGCTTAAGTGTGTGATATTTCTGGAAACACTCCCCTTTGTGAAGTGGCATTACACACGCAAATGTAGACAGTCATACTTGTAGTCCTCTTTTGTGAACTGCGCAAACATGGCATTGCCTAGAAGGATGCTTCCCCTTGGAATGTTCACTCTTCACAATTTTCACGAGGGTATGTTTCCACATATCACCCGAGAGTCGCCCAGGGGTGCCCACATGAAGCCTGTGTGGGTTGTGATTTGATGGGCTAGGCTGCACTAAGTCTGTCTGACTCTGGTTCTGCCGCCACCATCTGGCCTGTAGCCCAAGCCTTTGCCACATTCATCAGAAATGCATTGTATTTCAATTTTGAATCAGGGTTTAGATTTTTTTTTTTTTTNACCAATGCTGCTAGAAGTGCTTAAGTGTGTGATATTTCTGGAAACACTCCCCTTTGTGAAGTGGCATTACACACGCAAATGTAGACAGTCATACTTGTAGTCCTCTTTTGTGAACTGCGCAAACATGGCATTGCCTAGAAGGATGCTTCCCCTTGGAATGTTCACTCTTCACAAGGGGAATGTTCACTCTTCACAATTTTCACGAGGGTATGTTTCCACATATCACCCGAGAGTCGCCCAGGGGTGCCCACATGAAGCCTGTGTGGGTTGTGATTTGATGGGCTAGGCTGCACTAAGTCTGTCTGACTCTGGTTCTGCCGCCACCATCTGGCCTGTAGCCCAAGCCTTTGCCACATTCATCAGAAATGCTTTGTATTTCAATTTCGAATCAGGGTTTAGATTTTTTTAGATTTTTTGCTGTCCCCGCAATGTTACTACGCGCAATGTTATTACCTGCATTATCGTCAGAGCTACTGTCAGTTTTACAGTCTGTGGCCACAATTCTTTGTTCTCCCCTTTCACTGCCACTCTCTGAATCACCATTAATATGCATCTCACAGACAAGCCAGGTCAGCTAGGTCTTCGGAGGAGAATTTGTCCCTGATCCATTCTCCCCACTACCTACTGGTTGATACACACAGCTTGAAGAAGGCAAAGCATTTTCCTTTACAGTTGGTTAAGTAAACATCGAGGTCAAGTTACTGATGGCTAATTAAATATTCCAGAGTCTTATCACGTATCTGCAGGCGGTTGCGTTCAATGTAGGTGGTGCCAGAGCGATGTATAGCATGTTGCAACGTATCGTGTCAGAAAAGGGCCAATTGGCCCGCCCAGTCCGCAATGCTATAGAAACGTAGAGGGCCAATTGGTCCCTCCGGTCCTGAATGTGTTAATATATACATTGAACAACGAAGGTCCCAGTACAGATCCCTGTGGAACTCCATGTTTGCTAGTTTTCCATTTAGAAACATATGTAGTTGAGTCTTGAGTCTGTAGAATGATTCTTTGCTTCCTGTTATATAGGTATGTTTCAAGCACTTTTAGTAGAGATCCTTTATTCCATAGTGTTTCAATTTTTGGATAAGCAGTTCGTGATTGACACAGTCAAATGCCTTAGTGAGGTCACAAAAAATCCCCACAACCATCTCCTTATTGTTTCATGCTTTATGAATATAATCAGTAACCGTAAAATAGCTTTTTTGCGTCGACACACCCTTTCTTAAACCAAACTGATTATCTACAATAACATTATTGTTTGTTAAATGCTGTATTACTCTGTTATATATTAATTTCTAGAATATTTTGGAAAACCTTGTCAACAAGGAAATGGGCCGGTACTTAGATATTTCCATAATACTGCCTTTCTTGAAGCATGGTATAATATTAGTATACCATATTTACGCATGTATAGGCCGCACATTTTTTGCAAAAAATTCAAGTGGAAAACTGGGGTGCGGCTTATATTCGAAATCACACTTCATTTTAAAAAATTATATTCATAATTAGTAATACAGGGTGTTCTACTCCTGAAATAATATTCCAAGAAAATTATTTTTTCTATAATTTGTCTGAAAATTGTGCTGCGGCCTATATACGCATGCAGCCTATACATGCGTAAATACGGTATTTTAACCAATCTGGATAAATTCCAGTGGTTAGGGATAGATTAAAAATATGCATAAGTGGTTTAGTAATTTGATTACTACACAGTCTTATGAATTTGATATACCATCATATCCGCAGGAACCCTTACTCTTTGGTAATGAAATTACACCAGAAATTTCTGACGATGTAATTGGAATATTAACTATTTCAGGAAATTTGTCAGTAAG